TATATATATATATATATATATATATATATATATATATTAAACCTGCTTCCCGACCTATAAGTTTCCAATCTAAACCTACTCATTTTAAGGAATATCTGTTGAATTTGAAATGAAACCAAAATAACAGAGAACATAAGCTGGGATCAGAAAATCTGATAAGTTGACAATGAGCAAAAGATCAGATGGGCTCTATGAAACTTGCTGTCAAGAATATGAATACAGGGAGTGGGGGCTGCAGGAGGTAAGGCGGAAATGAGGTAGGTAAGGAGCGAGACAAGGACATGAGGGGGCAGAAGGAAAGATCACCTTCATACCCACTACAAACTGTAGAGGCTGAAAAAGGTGAGTGAAAGAGCTTAGGAAGGAAATAAATAATATAGTCTATATGAGGTGAGGTGGGAAGGGAGGGGAGGTGGGGCAAGTGTGGGAGAGGCAAAAGGGTGTGTGCTCACATGAACCACTCTTCCCCCTTCTACACGCCACGAGCGCCTGCGTCTCTCCAGCACAGCACAGAGAAAGTTGGGTTCACATTTTGAGTATTCTCCAGCAGCTCTCCCAGAGCAAGTCCAGTCTTATTTCTTCTTTTTCTTTTCTCTCCTGGTCAGTTACTGTGTTTCACACACACACACAGACACACACACACCAGCCGTTACTACTGGTGCTGAAGAAGGAAGAGAAGAAGAGAACTGTTACACACCCTTACACCCAGCTGCTCACCCAGCCATCGCCAGGTGCTTTGTTCACAATGTGGACTTTTCTTTTGGGGGTCATCTTTGGATTACTGGCCTCCTCCAGGTCAGAGCAACTTCAAGGTGAGGAGTCCTTTTAGTTGAGATTTTATTTATTTATTTACTGTTTTTAAATTGTACTCCTTTGCTGTCAGATTTTAGGACTAGACGTCTGGAGTATTTTTGAGCACAGTAGTGAGTATTTGTATAAAAAGAAGACGAAAATGAACAAATAAACACTGTACTCTTCTGAGGATGCTGCTTTTATGGATGAGTGAATGCCGGCAGGAGAGCATGTGCTGCACCAGTGCAGACAGGCTTATGTCTGGTCTGTCTCAGACGCCTGATAGACACAAAGAGGACAAGCGCTCCTGCTCCCACTCTGTCTGAGACGCACACTGGAGCGTATTAGTCATTTTAGATGATCAGGATAGCTTTTACTGCCATTTATATTAAGCTGATTGTAAATCTTTTTTTTTTCTCTCTCTCTTTGTTATCCTGCCATGTTTTATGCTTTGTTCAGTGACACAAAAGACGCTCTTTAATCCACTGTCTTTGTCCTTCCGTCTCGTTTTTGCTCTTTGCCACGTGGTTTCTGTATGATTTTTTTATTGGCTTTGTTGCTTACAGTGATAGTCTCTGGAGATTAACTTGGTTCAGATGGGTTTAGGATTTGTCTAGCTGGTCCCCTGGGGAGCTGGTGGTTGAGTTGTTCACAAAGACTCCCCTCTGGCACAATGCCAAAAAACAATCAGCATTAAGCTATAAATCTGAGCAGGAATTAAAAGGCAAATAAGATAATACCTGGGGAACTTTCTCAGGTGCAGAGCATGTGGGTGGAAGGAGCAGGGATGGATCATTTTTCTCTCTTTAGGTTTCAACCTGTCTTTACCGCTCAAGACTCCTTGTGGGTTCAGAAACGGGTGCTTTGTGTGTATGAGTGTGTGTCTTATGAGTGTGCCTAAGTGTTTAAAGTCGTCCTTGTCTAGCATCTAAAATGCTCCATTGTTGTAACTGCTCATCCATGTCCAGACAAAACCATTTAACCACATAAACCAGTGGGTGCATTTTTGACATCAGCCGAGCCGGACTTGCTTCCAAACCAAAATATAATTAAATAAAAATAACAAATAAAGAAATAAACTGCTTGTTCTGGCTAAAAAAAAAAATTCACACAAAAGAAAATTTGACCACAAATGGTGTGTTTTATTCACCAGAGACCTTGGATGCACTTAGTATTTGCATATTTTAACTCTTTTATTTTCTTCTGTTTGTTAATTAGCTTAGATAATTTGATTAAAATGTGACTAGAAAACATTTTTGTACATGTTTAGCTTATTACTTATTTTCACATTTTTTAATAATAATAAAAAAAAGTAAAACCCCAAATGTAATCGTTCGTCCTGCCTCAGACTTTACAATACCTGCAGCTCATTCTGAAATTTGGGGAGCTTTTAAGACACTCAAATCGCTCAGTAGTTGCATCTGGTATGTGAACTTGTGTTACTTCTTGAAAACTTCCAGCAGAGAAGCCACATTAATGAATTGTTTTGATCTTCTACATAATTAACCTGCCTGTTGCTTGTCTTTGAAACAAGGTCATATTTGCTTCCTTGGGTCAGTGGCCCCTCTCCTCAGTCCTCTCGTGTCATGTTTCAAAATGAAGGGTGGCCAGAGGCCCCTTGGACCAGGCTCTGACAAAGACAAAGAGAGCTTGTGGTTGCATTGGCTGCAATACCTTAAGGCACATGTTTGTGTCCACAAACAATGTGTCCATTCAGCAAGTCACCAGATATGAGCTTGAAGGGCATGTCTATAGTAAGCTTTCTAGACCCCTGCATCTAGACCATAGGCGCCCAAAGTGGGGCCCACGGGCCAAGGTTGGTCCATCAAGCCATTTGGGTTGACCCACCAAGCTGTCCTCATTTCTATGTTAAAATTTCCTTTGAAGAATCAATTTGTTTACACTCATTGATTCCACCCATTGACTTTTATGTTAGATGGAAAAGTCAACCGAATGACTACTGCAATGGCACTACACAGCTTACCTAATTTGAGAATTTTTTAAGGAATTTTAAAATGTATATTTTATTTTGAAAGGCTTCGTGCCATCTCTTGGCAGCTTCCTGCTACTGAATTTTGATTTGACAAGGCTGGGCGCTCATGTGGCTGCCCAGCACCCAGGTGGGCTTTTGTGACACACAGAGTGAATGCCTCAGGTAATCACATGTACTGTCTTGCTCAGGGTTTCAATTTTCCTACCATACATAACTCCACCCACTTTGTCATCATGTGACCATAAGTCTAACCCTTTGGTGCTCAGGGTCTGTTTATCACCAAAGCCTCTATGATGTGTACTATAGTGAACAAGTTCCATACAGGACATTTACCTGTAATTTAAAATTGTGGTGGTTTTAAAGTGTCATGTCAAGGACAAATATCCATGTTTTGCCATCTCTCCATATGAGTGTCGCACTCTGAGCTAAATTAATTTGTCTTTATGAAATACATGTATGCTACCTTGTTGAGACCAGTTATCCATTTCCATGCCCAGCTGTACTTGGCTTAACAGCTAGAAGTCCTCACAATTCCTGCCAAGTGTAAGCTAAATGGATAAAAAAGTATGCCACCTCCCTAACTTTACTTTGTTAGATTCTTTTACCTGGATTATGGAGCATGAGTCAGGATATCTTCATCATTTAGCTACGCTAAACTCTGAACTTGGAGTTACGGTACTCTGAAAGCAAGTTGAGACTTGAATTTGATTTTGGCAGCACTGGAGGCCAGTAAGCATGGTGGTATGTCTCCTCAGTGGCTGAACAAACACCTAAAGTGCTGCAGCATTTTGAGCCAATAATATTCTGAAATTTCACTGTATGGAAGATCTGCAAAAGAGTGAAGACAGTAAAACGATTGACGTGTGGTTTAATGCCTCAGTTTTCGACTACAGATTGTTGTAAGAGAAACAACAGCTTCAGGACGTTTCACCATTATTCAAACCCAGTGTTCCAACAGTGTTGTGGAGATAATGAGATTATTTTTATGTCAGTGTGGTTATGAATAGACTGAATGGGTTGTATGACCAACAACTGAATCTAAAGAAAGTTAGGTCCTCTGGATGGATTCATCCTGTTGAAATGTTTTGTCTTCTATCCAAAAGACTTCATCAGTCTGAGGAGCTACAAACTAACTCAGTCTTATAAACAGTGAAGTAAATAGTAGTAAATAGTGAATGGTAATAATTTGAAGAAGTCTTTTGGATAAAAGACAAAGCGTTTTAACAAGATGAAACTGTCCAGAGGACCTGACTTAACTTTGTTAGATAAATCATGAAGACTTTATTTTTTAGTATTCTTCAGCGTAACATCATCTGACTCTGCCAGCTTTATGTAAACTGTTTTCATTTGTGCTCCCATAAATAATATGTGAATATTTATATCACTATATTGGTAATTTAATATTATGTAGCGTGCCTATTATATAGCATTTGCTATTGATGTGTACTGGTTAAGCTAATTATCATATTTAGTGTTTTTCAGTGATTTTTTAAACAAGTCAAAAATAATATATTATTTTAGCATACAATAATAGTAGAATAATTAATCAATTTTCTTTTTTAGCATTTCAACGCTGTTTATTTTTCTGTCATTACAGCATTTTTAAAGTCCTTGTAGGCTAGCAATTACATTTTTTTCACAGGCAGATATTTGTCATCAGAGGTTAGTTTATTCCTCGCATGTTGACTGAATGCCAAAGAGAAAGGTTGAATTTGGTTTTGACATTTAATAATAAAGATTCTTATTGATTTTATGAAATGTTACAGAAGTTTCTTTTTCTATGTTAACGCTAACGTTCAAAATTCTGAAAATATTGATTCTGTTTATTCTACAGATTTTATATTGAAGGCAGAAATAAAAAATAAAAATAAAAACTTTGGTTTATACTTTAAGAAAGTGGGTGAAGATGTAAACAATACCATCCATCCATCCATCCATCCATCCATCCATACATCCATCCATCCA